TCATTTATCATGATAAAACTAAAAAATGAAATTATAAAATGTATGGAGTAGCAGATGTTTAAAGGGAGGAAGCATCTCGAGCCCCAACCTGTAAAATGAGAGTTCCTTTCCCTACTCCACACTATTATCTAAGTTATCATCGTTATTATTGTTATCATTATTTATAGTTCTACTACTGCTACTTAAAAAATTATTGCTACTACTACCACTAATGATAACTAAATTATCTTTTTTCCGGTTTTCTTTCTCGATCCAGGTTTCGATTTTATCTAACGAGATTTCCAATGAAAGGAGAAAAAGAGAGAAACGCTCTCCCACGAAATTATACAATGTTATATCTGAGGAAATCGGTCTCAGCACAGCTACACTTGCCATCTTTTATCGACATCAGAAAATTCGACCCAGAGAGTTTCGATTTCGGTAGGATATTCAGATTTGACTTTGCACGGATGCCTGCCCTAAATAGCGAAGCTAGTATGTTAGTGCTAAGAAAATGCGGGGGCTACAAACAGATGGAAATAATAGTTTTTTGCGTTCGAATTTGTGGCAAATGGATTATATGTGTTGAAGACATTAGCTCCGCTATCACAAACCTTGACTTCGCACTTCATTCCTCCATTCCGATTCTTTTTGCATTCTTGCGATTTCGTTTTTTATAACTAAATTATCTCGTTTTAATTCTTTTATAATTACATCCAAGGTAATAATTATTTCTAATTTTAGAAATATTTTAGGACAAGTTTTTTAAAAAATTTACTTCTGGCGATAAAAGTGAAAGAACTTTTATTTATTATACAGATAAATTATTTTATCGGGAATAAAACTGTTACACATCCAATAACTATATACGTAGTATTTGAATGAGAATGTTAGTTCTACAATACATTTGTAGTTTCGAGATATATGAAATAAATATATTATATAACAAGATAGTGTTTTACACAAAAGAAAAATTTGATATTTTTATTAATATTTTTAATATTTTACAGATTTCGATAAATAAAAAAATACAATTTGTTACATGTGTTGAGAAATTAATAATAATATATATAATATAATCCTAGCAAAAACTTTTATTTGTTACCAAATTTACTCCTTGAGGAGCTACTGGTTACAGTTTTATTTGATGAATTACTGGAACTATTTCCACTGTTTGTAACCGTTGTATATCTAACCCTGAATGTTGAAGGTTTAAGAGGTTTTTTGACTGTAGATGATGAAGACGAAACAGATTTTACAGTCCTTTTTTTTCCAGTAGTTAAAATTTTTGTTACTGGTGGGGGAGCGATGGCAGTTGTTCTTGTGACGATTGGTGTTTGCTTTTTAATTGTCTATTAAGAAAATTCACATTTATTTATTTGTTAGTAAGGAATAAAGTTTTTTAAATTAAATTATTAAAATACTTACTTCTAGTTTAGAATTAACAAACATGTATGCTTCATATATATGAGCCACCAATAAACTATCAGGGAAATAATTATCCACAATTTCTTCACTGACACCTGGAGACCACAGATTAAGTGACATGTCCGAAAAATAAATTGACATCGGTTCTGTCGCTTTATTAGAATTCTCGTTAAGGAATCTTAACATAAACCTTTTTAAGGCTGATGCAAAATGGTCTGCTGGTATTTTTGTTTGTTCATTATCCATAGTGGTTGGTGATAATGAATAATATTCTTCAGAAGATTCATAACTAATAACTGATGTGATATCTTGTTCCAATTCTGGTGTCAAAGTTTCTTTATATTTGTCATCTATATATTTGATAACACCATTTGCAACTTGTTCTTCGACCAATTCATATAATGCTACTAAATGTTTCAATTTCAAACTTGCATTTAGAATACCAACGAATGATTCATTATCAAGTAGATTTGAAAGTTTCATCCATTGATTAACATATTCATCAATCAGAATTTCTCCATCCCCTACTAAAGTTTTTTTGACAAAACAAAGTAGAATTTCCAAGGAAGAAAGTAATTCGGATGCATTATCAAATGTCAAATATTGATACCCTGAAGATGAGATTGAAGTAGAAAGAATTAAAGCTACTTTATCTGTTGGAATAGATTGTTGTGGAATCAAATCTTTGATTTCACCTAATATTCTTATATATCCTTGGAATAATTCCATATGATATGTGAATGGTCTCATGTATAATTGGGAATCGTTTACTGTATCAATAAAAACTTTTTCATAAACTAAAGAATTTGCAAGTTCTGATTCAATTTTTTGTAAATTAAATGCAACATCTCGACCCCTACCGACCCGAAGATTCCTTTGACTATACTGAAGGATGTCATCATTCCATTGAAAATTGACAATATTATTAGGTTGAATCTGTTCAATCATCATAGATTGGATATAATATTGAGTCACGGATTTAACAGATTTTGAAGTAGTAGTTATATTCGGATCTTTTTCATTGAATAATCTATCTTCCAGGAACACTAGTGAATGACATTTTCCGGGAGTGATGGTAGCAACTTCTTGTAAGAAATTATTTTGAATACCAATAAGGTATTCAAGAATAGCACAAATATAAACTCCAGTATCTTTTGGTTCTATTAATCCAAATGTTATAGGCGATTCAATGTCAATTAATGGTTTTGTTGATGGAAGTTCGTGACATTGGTAATTCTTGACATGATTGATCACTGAATTCCACGCTTGTGCAAAATCTTCAAATGCAACTTTCAAATTATTATTATTAATTTCGGTGGAATCTTCACTATCGGCTAGAAATTCTTGGAATGTAAGCAATTGGGCCTGCGATCGATTCACTCTATATTCAAGTTTTGATGATAATATTCTTACAAATTTGACGATTGGCAATAGATATTTGACAAACGATAATTGTTGTTCATGTTTGAAGAAAATTGAGAGGAAAGGATAGTTTTCGGTATTTTTGGACAAGTCTCCAGAATAAAACGCCCGAAAACTTTCAAAATTTATATCTTCAATTGTTCGCCATAACATTGGTAAGTGTTGCATACTATATTTTTTATCCTAAAAAAGGAAGATTATACTTTTAATACTGTTCTTAAATTGTTTTTAATTATTAAAAAAAAAAAACATACAAATTGTAATGTCTGATTAATTTCTACTTCAATAATATTCACACTTTCTTGAGAATTTGTTTCAGCCTTAGAAATTTCCAACTCGAAATCTGTAGCAGTTGCAGTACTACTCCTAACTGCTGGTTCAACATAATTACGTGAAAAATTTGCTTCCCATTCTTCTCGATCCACGCTTTTTTTCAGTATGGAATTCTTTGAAGGTTGTTTGGTCATCAAATCCAAAATTGAATGTAATAATAATGCCAAATTTTCGTCGGAAAGATTCAAAATTCTTTTTAGTACAATCCAATCACTTTTAATGTGATCCATACAATACGTTGATGGATCGTTGACAGTTTCACTATTCTTTTGTAAAAATCTCGTAGCAGTTTGTGATGGCACCCGAGCTCCAATTATAGCATGAACAAATAAATGCAGAATTCTATATGATGTGGGGTTTAATAATCTTATACTTTGACTTATTTCAGTATTTCCAGTCTCACAAATATAGCCAACTTGATCGTTAGCTGTTATGGCTCGAGTAATTGGGTTTGAATCAAGTTTTTTTTGACCTTTTAAATGAAACATTTTAATAGACTTAATTGATTTAAAATAAATAGATAAATTCAAATAGATATAAATTCAAATAAATAAATAACTGACCTGTGGCAATAACGTGGTTAATACCACCAATTGTAGCCTTACATTCTGGACATGTACCTGTTCCATTAGCCATTCCACAATTTGCTATTACATATTTATATCCACAAATACATGAATACCTTTTTATTTTTTAAAAAAAAGAAATTATTAAACGTTATAATTATTATTCAAGAATATAAAGAATTCAAAGTTATATTTATCATTTAATATTACCTTGTAACCTGACCTCCAATTTGAAGAACAGCACTAATAAGAACTGACTCGACATCCGAAGGACATGTAAGGATATATAACGAAGAACATTGATTCAAATTCTGTAACATATAAGCAAGTGGAGATGAATCGGCTGGAATTGAAGCATTTAACGCAATAACATGACTAATCACAGATTTTTGAAGTAATTCGATGTTTGTGGTGGTAAGATCAAAGTGAAGTAATTCATGATTATTCTTAATAAGTTTAGTTATAGTTTCTTTATAAATATTTGAAAAAGTACTATTTTTTTCAATTTTTTCAGATAAGAATTCTGCCATTTGATTTTCAGAATCTTTCCAATTCTGTGAAGCTCTGATTGAGTGAAGTCGATAAAATATCAATCCCATCAAGGCTATTGAAGATAATGAAGCTTGAGATATTTCTTTCTTTTTCAAGTTTAAAAAGAATGAGTTAAATGATCCTTTGTTGTTCATTCCAGAAAGTGTTGTAAAACATTTTTCCATAGAAACATATTCTTCAATTGACCAATAAGGATTAAAAGGCAATCTTGACTGATAACCTTCATCCCAAGGTAATGTTTGAAACCATGATAAAATTTGTTTTTGCACTTCACAAAAATGTCTGATATCACTCATTGACAATCCTCGATACCGCAATGCTCGTAAGAAATAAATCTTTAATGATTGGATTAATGGAAGATCCAAAGTCATACTATTATTAATCTCTTCGATTAATCTTGTAATATCAATGCCTTCAATTTCTGTAACATCAAACTCAATTGGCTTTAATATATCATCCGAAATACAATGATCCCAGAATTTTTCAACAAATTCTTTTAATAAAGCAATGGCACAAATCTTTTGTAAATATATTGTGTTGGTAAGTTGCAAAGAATTAACAGAATATTGATAATTATCTGCTAATTCTTTGAAAGTACATTTTGAAAAGAAAGATTTTTGAAGAATATCACAACATAATGTTGAAATTGAAGAATCTAATCCTTTAGATTTCAAACAATCAGTGATTATCTTGAGCCTTGGAGAAAGGGACAAAATCCTATTGGAATTTTTAATTAATTCCAAAAATACTTTTGGGATTTTATTTTCCTCTTGTTTAAAGATTAAGCTAATAATGGAATTGCTCATAATAGGAATAGGTTCATGTGAAAATATATTTTTGTAAAGTTCTAATCTGGATGGTGATTCAAGAGATAATATTTCCAAACATTTAAGAATAAATGATAATCTTGGGGCTGAATTTTCATTGGTATTCGGAAGTTTGTCTAGCATTGTAAAAACTGTCTTTATAAACTTTGGTGTAAATATATCTATTCCATTAAATGTTGAATTTATTAAATCTCTTATCTTCATGATCTCTTTAATACTTGTTAATGTAATTGAATCTGCTAATACAAAGTCATTGCACATTTGCAACAAGTGTAATGAAGCAAATTGAGGAGCTTCGGGAAGTTTTCCACACAATATTGAAATTAAATTTGCTTCGTGTTGCCAATTGATAAGTTGTGGAATATTGTCTTGAGCAGAAATTTTAATATCATTCAACTTTTTAAGCAAAAATTTTGTGACCTCCTCAATGAGATAATTTCCAAAAGAGCTATTTAATAGATTCTCATTTGCAAAAGATGAATTATTTATGATAGACGGACATAATTGTGCGATTTGAAGTTCTATCATTATTGATGAAGAATATCTCCACCAATGCGTGTGAAGAAAAAATGGATCATTCACTTTTTCAAAACCTAATCTTCCTCGGAATATTGATGACAATAAAGACATATGTTTCGTACAAGAATTATCAGTACAAATCACTGATACAAAATCATTGAAATACAATTTTGATGAATATTCCAAGGGAGAAGTCTTGAGATTAGCAACTGAAGAAATTATGTTACTACTTAAGGTCTTTATGTGGTCAATTATTGCCCATTCATAAAGATCTCCTGTCTCCGGATCAATATTATTTGAATCTTCTTTGAGTAAATACAACTCTTCTTCATATATCTTTTTGAAACCATCAATTTGTTTTATAAAATAAAAGGAAAATGGAAATTGAAGATCATAAATTACGGGAGGCATTAAATATCCTTCTGATTTTGGAACAGATAACTCGTCAATATTCATTATAACTTTGTCATTGAACATTTTCTTCCAGAATTCCAACAATTGTAAATCATGTTGTGATGATGACTGAGATATTGATTTTTCAAGAGTGAAGCAAGCATTTGTTGCGGATAATCTTTCAAGGGCACAGATAATTTTAGCAATTGGTTCACGAACTATTGAACGTATGTGAGCTTGTAATGCAGCAGAGAACGATGAATATGGATACAAGAGCTTTTTGTTGGAAGCAACATAATATTGCCAATCCTGAGATGAATGATTATCTTGAAGCAATTCTTGAGTTTTCATTTTCAAAAAATTGATAAAAGTTTCACTTTTCGAAATATTTGCATTAAGAGCTCTATAAAATTATTATTAAAGTTATTATAAAATTATTGTTATTATTAAAAAAAATTTCGAAAATTAATTATTAGAAAAATAAAAAAATAAACTTACTTAATGTGTTCAATAGATTTGACATTTGAAGGATATTTCATGCATAATAAACACCATAATAATTCTTGTTGCAAAATCTCTTCAAATGGATAAGTTGTATTAATGATTTCACTTAAATTTCCATTCAATAGAACAGCTAAGGATTTTTCTTGTGGTGCTAGAGACTCAATCGTCACATTTTTCCATCCACACATAAAGTTAAAGGCATTAAATGATGTTTTGTGATCTCTGTGAACATGAAGAATTATGCACGCATGTTTTTTCAAGTATTCTGCATTTTGCTGTTTCTTTTTCATCAAATATTCGCTTCTTGTTTGATCAATTACAAATTTAGCTAATTTAATACATCCAGCATTCATAGTATTGATGTCACATTGTATTATTAACGTTTCACTTGAAGATTCAAGCCAAAAATTCTTGACTTGATTATGAAATTGAGCTTCAGTCTTGAAAGTTGAAAGTTTTAAAACTTGACATGTAGTCAAATTTTTTAAGCATAATTTGACATCAGTATTAATATTAGAGAATGTATTAACGATAACTAGATGACCATCAGGATACAATGGTGAATTCTGATTACTCAATAAATCCTTAAAATAATCAGCCAAATGGTTATGACATTGAATTTTAAAGTAAACATCTTTCCAATGATTTACTTCATCAAGGCTCAAAGAGGATTTCTCTGCTCTTACAATTCCATCAGATGAGGCGATGGCAATTAATGATTCTTTACATTTTGTCAAAATTTCTGAATTTTGAGCATTCGGATATTTCTTTTTCATATCAATGACTAAACTCTGCAAAGTTTCGTCTTGATTGAATCCGATAAATAAATCATTTTCAGTAAACTTATCATGAGAAACCAAGGAATTCTCCAAATTCTCAATAGTTGACATTTGTTTTGTCCAAATGAATAATTGTTCAACTAATTCTTTATCATAATCAATCAAGATGTCAGTGATTGTCATTTTTTGCTTTTCAAATCGACTCAAGAGTGGGGGATCAGCTTTTGGTAAATTTTTTTCATCAAGCACCAGAATGCATCTAAAGTTTTTGTTAACATACCTAATGAAAAATACAGAAAGAAAAATAGAAACAATTGTAAAATGATTTAAACCAAAAATAAAATAAAAAATAAAAAATATAAAAATATAAATAATTAATACTAACAACATAGGATTAGCGTAAGCACCAAGTGCAACCCTCGTGTAATACTTTGGATCCTCAGAACTGCCAACAACAATATAATTCTGATTCCACAAATCGTATAAACTCCCTAACCAGAACAAGAATAATAATAATAATAATAATAATAATGATAATAAGAACAAGAAAAAAAACAAATAGACAACATTAGAAACAAAATTGAATATTTTTTTACCATATATAATTTCTAAATCTGTTAAAATCAAAGGTCGTCCTGCTTCAACACACATCTAAATATTTTAAACGTTATATTTAAGAATAATTAAAACATTATATGATATGAAAAGAGTAATAAATACCATAATTCTACTTAAAATATTATATGAATAATCATCTTGATCGTCTGGAAATTGTGATCCAAAAATAACAACTGGATCCAAATTTTTTTGTCTTAATTGATACGTTAATAAATTTACTATTGAATCACTCTTTCCAATTATCATTAAATGTCTTGCCCCTTCATCATCCAAATTAGCATGAATCAATTGTTCTATTGGTATTGGAACATAAGTCCATCCTCGATGATTATTAAATGTATCAATAACGTTACCAAAATATTTTTGACAAATTTCAGGAAATTGTTCCGTGCCACCGAAATTTCTTGCCAACGCCATTTGAATATTTTCAGGAGTTAATTCTTTCGAGCAGAGTGACTTCACCAAAGCATAATAATCACGAAGACCATGAAAATTGGGATGAATTTGACCTTTTTGCTCATATTCAGAATAAGAAATTGCAAGTGGATACAATGAATTCTTATGGGTATGACCATTAGTTTCATTATTGTCAAGTAAACGAACAGCCGTGTCCACTAAATCTTCAAGATCAAATTTTGGTCTGAAATATCATAAAATTTGTTATTATTATCACATCATCATCATTATTATTAAATTATTATTAAAATTATTATTATAAAGACCTTTGAACTAATAGCGCTCTACTGCTTTTACTATTATCCAATCTCCAATTACTTATACCAATAACAGACACATCTGGACCATCGGAAGGATAGCTTGGTTCAAGTAAAAAATGAAGTACTTTCAATGGATTAAATGGAGAAGTTTCGGCAAGACCAACTAAAAAATCAAAAAAATAAATAAATAAATAAATTACTTTAATTTTATATAAACAAAAGATCTCCTATTAAAAATATTCTTATTACCTTCGTCCAATAATACTACACTAATGACAGGAAATTCTTTTGAACTTGTTTCTTGGAAATTCTGGGCTTTTCGAAAAACCTTAAAAATACCATCGGATGTCGATGATGATGATCCTTGATGAGGAATAAGATATACCTTTCGAACAAATAAACATAGTTTTTTCTTTTAATTAATACAATCTAACCATATCTAATTATCATTTATTATTATCTAGTTTTATTTTTTCATACCTGTGGCAATTTTCTAAAATATTCATCATTCGAATCTGAACCTCTTAAATTTTGACTAACAAGTCTAATGGCTAATGATTTTGAAAACCTAAACATATATAACAAATATATTAAATATAATAAATATATCATATAAATAAATTAATAAGTTAATAAATTAATAAAGTAAGAATGATTCAATAAATTCAATAAATTAAAGAAATTTAGAAATTCAAAAATTAAAAAACTAACCCAGGTGCACCAACAATAAAAACTGGAATTCTTGTTAATATACAGACTATCATGACCAATACATTTTCCAAAAGCGCTTCGTTTTGTGCAGTATTTGGTGGACAAACCATTCTATTAATGTAATCTTCTTGTTCTTCTCGAATTATCTTAATAAATTCTTTCTCATTCAAATGAATCTTTTCCTTCTCAAATATATTACACATTTTTTTACGATATTCTTGACGTAATGATTGTTCATACAATCTTGACTGATAACAAAGTCCCAATGCTAACACATATGAACGAATTTTCAGGTTGAACGTCATCGTCGAAGGATATTTTAATCCCTTTCGAATTGGCGGACGATTTTGTAAACTCTTATGAAAGAATTTGATAAGTGTTATTGTTCGCTTGACATCACGTAAACTAACGCTGTACGGCTCTTCCACTTGTCGAATATATTGCTGAGATGCAAATATTAGTTCCGAAAGAACAGGATTGTTCAATTTTAGTTCTTTTAACTGCGTATTAACCATGACCTGGATGTATTTCTTTTCATCATCTTGATGAAGTATACCATAATCCCAAACATAATCAAGGATTTGATCTGGAAGAGGTTTAACTTCATATACGAGATTACTTTGTTCTTCGAATTTTTTCGCCTCAAGGCCTACTTCACTGATACTCTTCGTACGCATACGATAAGGATTACATGCGGCAAATATTCGTATATTAGAATTAATAGATTTTCCTTGATATATTCGATGGGCTATCAAATTGGCCAAGAGACCTATATGATTACATGTATTTATTTCATCAAAGAATACCCAAATTTCACCATTTTTAGCATTAAATTGAACTTCATTCATGAATTGAGCAATAATATCTTCAGTTATGCCTGCGTGAAGATTAAGAGCATGAAATTGAACTTCCACCACTTGAGCAAGAAATCCAATTAAGCTAGTCTAAAAAAATTTAATATTATTTATTAATTTCATTACTTATAATACTTTTAATACAATTAATTTAAAATTTAACTGACTGATAACTTACTTTTCCACATCCAGCTTCTCCACAAATTACTACTGGTATATTGGCTCGTGTCCTCAATAAAATTAAAGCCATCTTTAATAAATTATCGGCTGACAAAGCATATGGTGGATATTCAATAGCATGGTGAGTTTTTCTGGCAATATTTTCTAATTTTTCTAGTAAGGTTTTAGCGTTCATTTTACGATAATTATCCAATTTCCATTTTATATTTGTTTCATCCACATGTTGACTTTTTAATAAGGTCTTAACATTTCTAGGAACTTTTTTAGAATCTCTATATAACGCACATATTGAATCTGGTATTTGTGATAAGAAAAATACCAATAAATGATTTGAATCATCCCAATTCACAATTGTACCCAATGCATCATTTTCAATCGAATCAACCGAAGTTGCTTCTAATTGAGCTGATTTCGTTTGTATTGATCGAGTAGCAAAATCTTTAGAAACTTCCAATAAAGTTTTTACTAATGTGGTTCGAATATTTGATTTTTCCTCCATCATCAATTTTATATTTTGCACTTTAAAATATGTACTTGAAGATAATCTCATCAATTGATCCGCGAATACATTGACAAAAATTTCAAGAAATCTATAAGACGAAACATCTTCTGGATTATTATCTTCAAAGAAAAATTTATCTAATAATTGTTGGCATAATTCAGTGGAAATAATTTCTTTGGATTCCTTAATGTTCACATCGTTTTCTTCAAGCTCATTTAATTCAAGGGCATTTAAGTAACGACATACAGTTTGCATTGGACTATTGATTTCATTAGTAACTAATAGATTCTTGATATCCCATGTCAGATGAGTCCTTTTTAAGCATTCAATTATTGGGAGTGATCTAAGTAAATGTTGTTCAAAACTAGATGCAATCTCTATGAAAATACACGTATTTGGAATACAAGCAATATTCGCATTACTTGAAACGACCCATAAAGTTAATACTTGAAATAACCACATATTAACTTCTCCAGGATAATCTGAGGAAATTATATTAATGTGCATACAATCAAATGGTCTGAGGGGAAATTCTTTTAGTTGTTTAACCAACTTTACATAATTAGCATTGTCACTAATAACAAAACTTCTTGGATACTTTTTCATTTTAAAACATTCATTTCTAATCCATTCAGACTTTCCCTGTCCTGACAATTCTGAAGAAACGCATAAGACTTTTGGGCATAATTCTTCATAAATACTTTTCATTGCTGCCGTATTTAGACCATTGGTAACTCGAAAATCTGAAAATTGGTCCAAGATATGATGATGCATTCCAACCTCTGGGCAACAAATTAAAGCTAAGTAATAATTATTTTCTTTCTCTTTCATCAACCTGATCTTGTTTACCAGGTTATATTGTAAATCATAATCAAGTAATTCCAAGTTTGCCATGCAAAATAAATGATTTTCATATCCATGTTTTGGAGCCAAAAAACATCTTTTGATAAATATAGAAAGTTCTTCTAAGGTAGTTGAAGTTGTGCAGATTAACAATTGCCAGGCTTCAGGATATGATCCATGATTGGCATATAAAGACATAATAACATTTGGCAAACGTGACTTGTCAGTACATGAGGCGACGAATAATTTTCCGCGTTCAGCAACATCCGAAATTACACGTTCTCCAGGTGCTTTAAGAAGTCGAATAGATTTAGATACCTTCGTGAAGATGTTATTTAATTTTAAACCGATTTCATTTAGAATTTGTAAATGAGCGTCTTTTTTGGCAGTTAACCCGTTGCCTTTAGTATTTGGTGGTAATTTGGCTTTGGGATTTACAAATCTTACAAGAGTTGAACATAATTTTTTATTGCCAAACGATTTACTAGGTTTACTAACGAAATAATCATAAAATTCTAATATGTGACGGGCAGGGAAAAACGTCAAATAAAAATGACTTTGTTGAGCTTTATTTACCAAACTTTCCCTAAAATTTTTAATGAAAGAAAATATTAAAATATTTAATAATAAATTATTGGATGAAAAAAAGATATATTTTATAAGATAAGAATTTACCATTTTTTCAAATCAGTTTGCAACTTTTCAGATAATTGAATCATTTTTTCGGTGCCTTTAATTGACGCTTGGAATTCTCGATATCCAAAATTTCCGGTTTCAATTAATCTTGCTGAAATATTAACAATTTCTTGTATAATATCTACTTGCCGAACAAATTCTTCCATAATATGCTTTGAATCTTTAACTTTTGAATTTTTATCTGTAGAAACATCCATAGATGCGCAAGGTTTAGCAATTAACAAAGCTCTTCCTCTTAGATCCTGTAAATCATTAATACCATATGATACGGAAGTCGTTTTATTGATATCATAGGATAACGTCACTTTACATTTGGAACTTTTAGATGTCCATTCAAATTTATAGGTTCCAATCTTTACAGCATTTTGTATTTTTTCTTTTGTAACTTCGCCTTAATTATCAAATTATAAGAATAGATTTTAAATTTTTAGTAAAAAAAAATTTATTATTTTTATAATAAAATTTGAAATTTACTCACCTCGGTTACTAATATTCGCGTACATATTTTGTAAAGCCATATTATTGCTATTACATAGAGTAATTTTACTCGCCAACGTAGGATTCTGAACTGAGACTTTACGTAATTCTTGCAAGAACGAATCCAAATTCAATTTAGGTGCAACGTTTAATAAAGGAAGCAAAAATTGTTTGACTTGAATAAGTGAAGAAACTGTATCCTCTTGAATCAATCTTTCGTCATCAACACCATTAATCAAATTTTTAAGATCATGACCAGCAATTTCCCGTAAGAAAGTAATAAAATCTACCGCTACTGAAAGTTCTTTTATTAATGACCAACTATTCTCATCAATGTCAATAAGACAACTATTAACAAAATCAGTAATTGAACTTAATTTTCCTAATGGTATCTCTTGACTATCTAAATCTTCAAGTGCCAATTCAATCCAATCTCCTTTTTCACGTGGAACTTTGAAAATTTCAACTACATTGGATAATTGCTGCAAATTCTGAACCAGTTGCTTTACTTTAGAAAGACAAGATAATGTCTTTAAGAAATTTGGAGTTTGTTCAATTTCCTCGAATTCATTCATAAAATTCAATTCGGTATTAATGTCAGTGACATTTCTCCATAAAATAGCTGCGCTGCAAAATTTCAATTCTTCCCAACTTTCATATTCCCTACATCTTTCTTCATAAATATTTAAAATTTCTGGTAAAATAATTTGCACGATATAAAGCACATCGATTACCTCTTCAATTTCTTTAATTTTTGTTTCAAAGATATTATAGAATATTTGAGACTTGCTATATTTGTATACAAATTCTGACATCTCTAATACTTGATGAAATTCCCAATAATCAGGAATTTGTGTCGTCTGTAGAGGTGTTGACTCCCATTGAATTTTTTGTTCATGTAAATCTTGTATATAATTCTGAACATCTATAACTTTATTTGAGGGACAATATTTAATATAGAAAGAATTTAAGCATTCAAATGTTTGTTCGTAATCTCTACATTTTTTACGAATTGCATTAAGGACTTCCTCGGTAATAAAAATCTCTTTATCATCATCTTCATTAATAATGGACACAGAATTAAAGTAATTCAACAAAAATTCGTTATCATACTTCAAAAGATCTTGTAAAAGACGAATATCAATTGTTTCATCTATAATCATGCATCCAAGTTGGGAGATTGCGCGTATGACATTTAAGACATAATGATGTTCATTGAGATTTTCAACAAAGCCTTTCGCACATAATATTACTTTCCAAAATTTAGCACCACTAAGAAGGCTCAAATGGAAAGATGTAGAAATTGTTTCATAATCAAATTGAGAGTGATCCTGCAAGAGAGTCATTATGTGACACAACAATTCTTCACAATGACTAAAGAGATTATAATTGATCAATAAAAAGTTTTATAAAAAAAAAAAAAAAATTTAGTGAATTAAATATATTTACCTATTTGGAACATTTAAAATTTCATAATTATTATTACAAATTTGACGGACTATGGATAAAAGTTTTTTATCTGCATTTTGAGTGGCGTTTGTTAATCTATCTTTGACTAATTCAAAAAACAAATTAGCCACAGTTTCTTCAAGATTAATCACTTCTGATATTGCTCTATAAATCAAACTATCCGGACATTTAGAGACACAATTTACGGCAATTCCCATTATTTCTTCACATAATTTCTCGATATTATTAACTACCTGACAAAGTTTTGCAGCATAATTGAAAACAAAAAAGGCATAATTATCAATATGTGAAGCGGAGTTACTACTATTCGATCTATTCATGAATCGTTGATACCAATGTAAACAAATTTTTGAGAATTCACTTATTGTAATCTCCCCCGTAACATCAAATTTTTTCAAAAAATTTTTTAGATGTTTTATAAAATATGCCAACATTTCAATATCCGTAAATTTTGAAATTAAATCTAACGAATTTATATAATCTTCAGAATTCCAGAATAATTTTGGGCACTCCAAAAGTTTGACAATTGCCTTAAAATGTTTTGAAGGATAGGTTTGTAGATTGCGTCCACATTGTAAATACATTAATATTCTCCCTCGAAATACTTCTTCTGCTAATACCCCAAGACCAACTGGAAGTTTCAAAAATCGATCACTTAATTCGATGACATCTAAATCAGCAATATTTTTTTGAACTCTATCCAAAAGTGTTGTTTGAAGTTGAGCGTCTATATGATTCTCATGTTTAATAATTTCCATCCATACAGTAGTAAGTGATTTCATGTTATTGCATATTGTGATTAACCACTGAATTATTAATTAATATAGCAAAATTTATTAATAAATGAATAAATAAATGAAATAATAAAAAATGAAATAATAAAAAATGAAATAATAATAATAAAAAATAATTACGCACTCTTGCAACTCTTATATAAATTATTTCATCAGTAATATTATTAATATGTGGTAAGGCTATCTCTTTCAGATTATTAATAAATTTATTGAAACTTTCATCGATGTATCTTAAATCACCAAGTGAATCAATAAATCTGTATTCGGGATCAACCAACGGTGCTGCAGAAAATATCTTGAGCCATTCCAATTCTGCGTGGTATGCATTATGATCTACCAAAGAATCAATAGCTGTTGCGATTATAGGATGTGTTTCCGATGGGAAAGTGTTTTCACGAATGTATTTGACTATGTCGATTAAAACAGAGGATGGGAATGAGACCGGTAGCTCGAAACGATGGTATAAGTTTCGTTGCCACTCGTGAACATAGAACCCTAAGAGATATAGCAAGAAAAATCTATTTTCTCTTATTCTTGTTTCACACAGATAATCTTTTATAAATTTCGGAGATGATGAATTCAACGCATAATTCCTATGATCATTTACGATTGATTGAAATTCAATAATCTTTTCTTTGAGATTTCCCGGAATTAATGAATTATATATAACATCAACAAAAGCAAAGTCTCTAACATCAGAAACAAGTATATCATTGCTTAACCAGATGTCATATTGATTCCTATTTTGTAATGAAAGCAAACGATCAGTTTCTTGCCCAGAACCTTCGTAAATAATTTGTTTGCTTTTAGCATGTTGAGAGGCAACAATTCCATATTTGTATTTTATCTCGATTGTATGTTCAAAGTTTGAGAGGGAAATTCGAATTGGATCGGAAAACCAATAAGAATCAGGACTGGATATGGAACGTCGATTTGAATGTCGAAGTTTGACGATAGGCGAATCCCAATTTCCCAATTCTTTAATATTGCCTATAACATATGGAGTTCCTAGATTATGACAATTAGGTGGCATGTGTACGTGAAATACTACTTTAAATTCTTCGGAAGATTTTTTTTCTTTTCTATTAATAGTTGTTGAAGTAGAAGATTGAGATGATCTATCCGAAGAAGAATGTGAAATTATTTTGGATGTGGTGGATGTGGACCCATTATTCAATCCTTCTATCCTTATTTTTGAATCTTGAATTTTCGAAATTAAGGCTTTATTTGAATCATCAAATTCTTTCTTAGATTTTATAATTGCATCGTTATCATCAATGTCAATAGCATTCTTATCTTGAGAACGAACGATTTGACTGTAAGTTTTATTATGACTGTTTTTTTCAATACTTTTCTCTGATGGTTTTTGCGATAGATAATTTTTTTTTAAATTAAATTCTGGGACATCAAGAGAATATGATGATTCTAATTTAAGATCATTATGTTTTGTTGAAATTGAAGTTATAAAATCATTAGTTCCATCTACAGATAATAATTCATTTACAGTTAATGAAGTAGAAGTTTCATCAAGACGAGAATTTGCGTTTTCTCTAGTTTCTTTAGAGCAGACATTGTAATCCTGATCTTCATTTAACTCCATCTTTATTAGGAAAGAATTCGTTATCACTCGTCTTTTTATAGTAAAATTATCTATCGGAGTTCAATTCCGTTCTTAGGATTAACTATGCATGAAATATACACAAATAGACAGACCAGATAGAAAAACCTTCTTTCTGCGGTCATAAGATATCCTAATTTAATTGTTAAAAAATTAAGGATGCAGTAATAATGGATATTTATGATTAACATACATAAAAAATATTAAAATGAATTTAATATATTTGACAGACAAATATAATAAAATAGAATCAATAAATTAGCAGAAATCTTAAAAATCTTACTAAGAATAAAATTTTTATTTATTAGTAAAAGTCAATATTCAAAGAAATTAAATCATATATTCAAAAAAGATGTAAGTTAAATAAACCATTTTTTTTAAAAAAAAAAAAAAACAAATAAAAAATTATTAAGCAAAAACATAGGTATTCTTGTAAATTGCATTAAATAAGTTATTGTTTATATATAATAAGTAAAGTCTCACTTAAAAAAGTTAATTTGGAAAAAAAAATAATGTTCGATTATCATTATCATTGTCACAACGTTTAGCGATCACTATGTTCGATTACAATGGTTCAAAGGTTAGATGTTCTTCAATCTAACCAAACTTTGTAAATTATGGTCTTTGTATTCATTATATTTTACCATTTTTGATTTTCGTTCATTTTTTTTTCTTCCATATACAGAATGCACAGATATTGTAGATATTTGAATATTTTTAAATCAGCCAATAAAGTTTAACCAAGTTCATTTTAGACAACACAACTTTTAAATATATATAGAGACATTTTCCAAAAAAAAAATCATTTACAATTTGATTTCTTTCATAAAAACATTTAATACATAATACATTTGATTTTTTTTTTCATAATTCTTTATTATTCCATGAATAGAACCTTGACAAAAAGTCCAGCTTTCACCAATACACTTGCTGTTCCTAATGTTTCTGACGTTAGATCACGCACTCCAGATCCTTCAAAACTCAATAGTTCAAATTCGACTGATTCCAATAATGCCAATAATGTTAAGGTTACTATACGAGTTCGACCACCTAATGACATAGAACTTAGTAGAGGAGAAAATGAAATTTGGAATGTAGATAATAACCAACATAAAGTAAGCCTCGATCTAGATTTCATAGAGAAATCTAGAAGACAACCGATTGAATATAATTTTGGTAAGCTTTAAATGCTTGCATATTGAAAGAATTCGGATAAAATTAACAATGACTTCAATATTTTAATTATTTAGACGCAGTATTCTCGGGAAGTGATAATAAATTATTATTTGAAAATGGAGTAAAAGATACGGTGAGGTGTGTGTGTGTGTAATAAACTTTTAAAATTTTTAAAATTTTAATTTAAAGATTAGCTAATTTTTATAATTTTATATTCACGTTTTAAAAAAGTTCTGTTATGGAAGGTTATAATGGTATGTCAAAATTTTAAATTAAAATGTTATTATATTTTTAATATATTAATTAAAATTTTAAATTCATTAATTAAAAAGGAACTGTCTTCGCTTATGGCCAAACTTCTTCGGGAAAGACTTTTGTATGTTTATGATTTCTTTTCGATATATTTCATAAATTTTATTACTTTAATTAATTTCCTTTTTTTTTAATCATTTCAGACGATGGTAGGGATATCGGTATTCCATTTGATAAATTGGACAAATTAGACAAATTAGATAAATTGGCAGTTTATATTAATTAAAATTTAATCTTTAAAAAAAAAATAATTATTGATTTTTTTCTTATAGACTGGTTAGTCAATTTTTTTTTTTTTTTTATTATATAATCATTTTTTTTAAAAATAGATTTTTTTTTATTTGCACATAAATAACTGAATAATTTTGATACAGGCACAAAAAAGCGGCCAGGAGTTATTCCTCAAGCAGTTGATGCAGTATTTCAATACATCAAAATGGTAAATTATTTTATAAATTATTTTAGAATGATCTTTGTAACATATATTAAATAAATTATTATATTATTTGAATAGTGTAAAGAAAAACAATTTTTATTACGAGTTTCTTATTTAGAGATTTATAACGAAACCGTACGTGACCTTTTAAGTCCTGAAACTGAAGATTTAAGAATTCATGAGGATAAGCATGTAATTATTATTATATAATTCTTAAAGTTTTCTGTTAATAAATTTAGGGATTGTTAAAGTCCTCACATTTTCTGTATAGCGAGGTGTTTACGTGAGCCCACTCAAAGAAGTATTAGTTTCAACACCAGATCAAGTTATGAGAGAAATAAAAAGGGGTGAAGGTATTTGTTTCAGTACTTTTATAACCTTTGTTTTTACAAATAATTATTATAACATTAATGTAAACCATAATTCAATTAATTTATCTATTTAGCTAATCGTCACATGAGTGCAACGGATTGGAATGAAAGAAGTAGTCGGTCTCATACTATATTTCAAATGGCAAGATTCTTCCTATTTTAAGTTCTTTTCGAAATAAAAAAAAAAGTTACGATATTAAATGGACTTTTGTTATTTAACAGACTGTAGAAAGTGCTTCTAAAGGGTTATTACCATTCAAACCAAAGCGTTACTCATCGTCACCAAAAGGATCTGGTGTTGTATATTCTTCTGTTCTGGTAAGATAGAATTTTAGTTTTAATTGAATTATTTCTTACGTTTATATTCAAAGTGAAATACGAATTAATTTTTACTTTTTTTTTATTACTAATATAGAATTTGATAGATTTAGCGGGTTCAGAAAAAGCTGCAAGTTCGGCTGATCGTCGTAAAGAAGGTGCTTTCATTAATAAGAGGTATTTTTTTTTATTTTTTTTTTTGAGATTTAACTTCAATGTAATGTTAAAAGTTTGAGATGCTAATTTTATTAATTTTTTCATATTTATAGTTTGCTTACTCTCGCTACCGTTATTTCGAAACTAACAGAGAAAAACATGTACTTATTTTATTGCTACAAAAATAAAGTAGAAAATAATAAAATTTGAATATATTTATAATTATTCTTATTTATTTACTATAGTGGTTATATCCCGTATCGTGATTCAAAATTGACGCGGATTCTCCAGAATTCTCTCAGTGGAAATGCCAAAGTTGCTGTTATATGTACCATATCACCATCTATAATCAATCTCGAGGAATCAAATAATACTCTTAAATTTGCTGCAAGAGTAAAGAAAGTAGTTACAAGGGCACATACTAATGAGGTATGTCATTTTTTCCATTTGTTGATTATTAATTTAATAATTAATTGTATAGAATTTATTAAGAGAACCTTTTATGAATTGTTAGATTGTGGATGATAAAGCCTTGTTACAAAAATACCGTTTGGAAATTGAGGAACTTAAAGCGAAATTAGAAAAAACAAATGCTGTAAATGATCAAGAAAAGGAAGCAGAATTATCTAAAAAACTTGAAATTGAGAAAGCTAAGGTATTTTCGTTGTGTTTTTAAAGAATGAAAATTTCATAAAGTGGAGTTATGTCTCATAATGTCTAAACCTTTTTATAGCACGAAGAAGAGATGCTAGAAGCACAATTAATTCGAACTGCATTAAAAGAACGAATTGATCATCTTACAAAATTAATATTGACCAATAGTTCCTTCAATAATGGCGCACAACTTAATGACTCTGATGTAAGTAGTAATTTCTTCTTTTTTTTACCCTTTCATCCCGTTCAGTTTAACATACATTCATTTTTTGTATAAAAAAGGCAGATGGTCCTGAAACTCAGAACAACAACAAAATGGAACTTGAACAAAAAAATAGAATTATTGCCGAAAAAGATCAAGTTATTGCTCAAAAAGATAAAGTTATTGAAGAATTAACTGCACAGCTAAATAATTTCCTTTATAATAATACCAAAGAAGATAATAACGTATTAAATTATAAACTTCAAGAGAAAGATGATGAAATATCTGATTTACGCAAATTGAATAATGAACTTGAAAACATTATTAAACGACAAAAACAGAAGATCTATATGTTGGAGAGTCATTGAGAGTTTGTATGTACTCTTTTAACATTGGTAATTTCTAATATGATATATTTAATTATTCGCAATTTAGAGAATTTCTTATTTTAATTTTGAATATATATGTATCATTTGTATTAATTGCATTAATTGTATTAATTCATTGTATTAGTAATCAATTACTTAATTTCAAAATCAATAGATTTATGAGTAAATCATTTTACTCTTTGATATAATTTATTATATTGTATTTTTTAATATGCATAACAAAATCAATTTTCTGAAAAGAAATTTTTAAAAATGTAAATAAATTCAATTAAATTATGTAACAATTGTTTGTCTATTCTATGCATTTACAACATTCATTCGCTACTCTTACTAAATAATGCTTATGTTATCGCAAAATCTTGTGCTGGTCTATGTCTTTCAATTGAATACAAAGATAATAGAATCCCATTAATATAGTGCTGTTCTAATAATCATATATGAACTGCACTACTTACTAAAATAAAAAATTCTAGAATATGGTATCCGCATTGTACAGATAAAGTAAAATATACTCTTGAAGATATCAAAAAAATCATGCTATCTAAAGATGGAGAGTGCCTTTCAATTAAGTATAAAAATAATCAATTGCCATTACTGTGGCATTGTAAAGAAAATCATGTGTATCTCTTGGCAATGTGAAAAGTGGTGCCCATATTGTGCAGGTAATATCTGTCTTACTCTTGAAGATGCCAAGCAAATTGCACTTAGTCAAAATGGCAAATGTCTTTCAACCGTATATAAAAATTCTGATACTCCAATGACATGGAAATGTCATCAAGGTTATATTTGGAATAGCCCATTACATAACATTAAATATTCTGGAACATGGTGTCTATTTTGTGTAGGTAATATAAAATTAACTCTTGAGGACATGAAACAAATTGCATTATCTAGACATGGGGAATGTCTTTTGACTGAATATAATAACATAAATGATCCACTTATATGGCAAAATAATTTTAATCACATTAAAAATAGAGAACAATGGTGTCCATTTTGTATTGGATGATATCAGTCAATAGAGGATATGCATAAACTTGCACAAGTAAAAAATGGAGATTGTCTTTCAGATAAATATTATTATGATTCGCAAACAGTATGGATTTGTGAAAGTAATCATAGATGGAAAGCCATTCCCAATAGCATTCAACAAGGAAGTTGGTGTCCGTATTGTGCAGGTAGTATGAAATTAACTCTTGAGAATGTGAAGCAAATTGCATTATCCAGAAATGGGCAATGTTTTTCAACCAAGTACAAAAATAATCAATTACCATTATTATGGTGTTGCGAAGAAGGTCATTTATGGCAAGCATCTCTTGGTAATGTAAAAAGTGGTACCTGGTGCCCATTTTGTTATAAATATAAACACAAGCAATTATTCCAAGAAATTGTGACAAAATATCTTGGGCTACCATCAAAAATTTGCAGACCTGATTTTCTCAAAATATTAGAACATCCCATAGGATTAGAACTTACCCAGAATACGGTTTTGCAATTGAAGTACAAGGGCAACAACATCGAATTCTTTCATAGAGGAGATCCCAATAATTTAATCAAACAGCAATAATGTGATCAACTCAAGAAAGAATTGTGCGAAGAAAACTGGATTGTTTTAAAGTATGTTTGGTATTATGAAGACCCATATATAGTTATCCCGAAGCATCTTTGAGAATTGGGTCTTATTGAGTAAATTTAAAACTTCAAATGCAAAAAATCACGTTCTATTATTGAAATGTATACTTTATTTCTCAATATACAACTCACGTTTATACGCATGTACATGTTAAAAAAAATTATGGTTCAATTTTTGTGAGGTTCTGTTTGAATCATTTTCCATTATTTCGAAAAGATTAATAATTGCTTTTCGACTCATAATTCTTGTGATCAACCGATAACATGTATCACAGAAGAAATTCAATACTCCAAATGCATGTGTGACTCACAAGATAACCAAATTCGATAAATTAACACATGGCACGTTCTTTATAAGATTTTTTAGCCCCTGAGACGCGTTATTTAAGGGAAAACGATTCTTGTACTTTTTCTTGCGCCTCGACAAAGCTATATTTTTACTTAGTTTTTATACCATGACTTCCGAACAAAAATATCCTGGTTACGAAGAACTTACATCTTATTTGACACGAAGCAGAGACAAATCTTTCTGGAGTTTTCTACTCTATTGTCGGGACGCGATTGTTGCTACCACTTCACCTACTTCCCGCTGGTATGACCTTGACAACTTCTGGTACAAATGCTTTCTAGTAGAAGCAAAAGAGCTCTTAAACCAAAATGACTTTAATAATTTAGAAAAACAGGTGTGTTTTTTTTTTATTTTGCAAGGTTGGGGTAACGCCTAGTACTAAGCTCTCGGTCGTGTTCGCGGTCTGACTAAGGGAGAATTACTAGGCATGACAACTTGGGTAACCAGCCCCAAGTTCTCTATTCAGGCACCCTAACTTTGTCATTGGTAAAGGTCTGTGGATTCCGGACGAGAATCGGCTATGTGTCTTCCTTTTGGAGCATGCCGTTTATCATCTGATTTCTCTATACTATAGGGTTCGCCCTAAACCATTTGATTTTTGGCATGCCCTTACCACTAAATAGAAAATTGCACACTAAATAAAAATTACACACTATTAACAGTTGCTTTTCTCACTGTAGGTCAGTGAAGATCGAAAATGTTATAATTTTGAGGATTACTGGAATGACGTGATTGATGCATGTAAAATAGTAAGTAAACCACTTATTTTGTATTTATTTATCAGCTTTAGTATTATTATTAATTATTTTTCTGGAATTAGAAACAAAAAATCTTGGCCTATGAAAAAGAAAAAGAGCGCATTCAGCTTGAACATTTGCACAAACTTAATGAAATCGATAAAAAAATAGAAATGGAGAATATCGAATTACAAAGGCAAACTTGATAAGTTGGCCTCTTGATAAGTCGGTTTTAACCTAATTTGGCCAAATTTTTGATAAGTCGGTCTATCATATAAAAATCGCGATAAAGCCTCATACTCCGGCCATCTTTATATTAAATATTGCGATAAGTCAGTTTTGATCACGTGCTCACGTGATAATAATAAAATTAGATCATCGAAATCATCAAAAAAATTTTTGAACCTTTGAAATTTAATAAAGTAAGATTGCTATTTATAAATACTGCTGTTACTAATATTTATTTAAATTTATTTAAAAGAAATTTTATAATGAATGAAGGTTCAAATAAAGAATATTACAATTAAACTCGTCCGATGATGAATTTTTATTCTTAAAAAAACTAATAATGTGAAAAAATAATAACAAACGAATCGTTCTACTCTATAAATCGCGAGCGAAGTTGAAAAAAACGTGAAAATCTCTGGAAATTTTTACGTTTTTCCAACCTCACTCGCGATTTATAAAGAGTAGAGCGATTCTCTACTAAGGTGTTTCTAGGATAAAAAGAAAGGCCTTGTTCTTAGCTACAAAATGATATGTGTTTCATTCCGATAGCTTCGATATTCGCGGAGTTATTCTAAATTAAAGAAAAACGTGCGTAAAAAATCATGCAAAAAATTTTGATGCACGATTTTTTTACTAACGTTTTTCTTTAATTTAGAATAACTCCGCGAATATCGAAGCTATCAGAATGAAACACATATCATTCTGTAGCTAAGAACAAGGCCTTTCTTTTTATTCTAGAAACACTTTGGTAGAAAATCGCTCTACTCTTTATAAATCGCGAGCGAAGTCGAAAAAATGTAAAAATTTCCGGAGATTTTCACGCTTTTTTAACTTCGCTCGCGATTTATAAAGAGTAGATCGATTTTCTACTAAGATATTTCTAAGGTAAAAAGAAAGGCCTTGTTCTTAGCTACAAAATGATATGTGTTTCATTCCGATAGCATCGATATTCGCGAAGTTATTACGTTGTAGAATGGATTGTTCAAGAATGTAGCGTTCGTAATACGTTGTAATAGGGCAAATGTGTTATATTACATTTGAATTTATTTAAATTTTAATAAAATAAAAAATGATAATTTTAGATTGCAATATTGATAATATAATATATAGATAATAGTGACAATATGGAATATTTTGTTTGCAATAATTTACAAATCTTCACAAATTATTCTATTCATAAATTATTCCTGTTATACTTGTCAAAAAATTTGATATTTTTCTTCATTCAACTTGTAACTCTTATTATTAGGACTTTTCTCACTATTCTAAACTCTTGAATCCATAACTAAAAACTTTCTTTATATGTCTTTTACTTTATGTATTCTTAAGGTTCTTGATAATTCTGAATATGATCTTTTCTTTGTTGAACCATTACCATTTTTGAATTATCCTGGTACACTAACTTTTTTCCTTTTCTTTTTCAATACACTGGAAGAGTTTCTCATTAATATTAATAGTCCTCCTATATTTAAGGCGAATATAAATATAATAGAGATGAACACAAAAATTTTCAAGTCAAAAATTTTTCCCTTTTTTTTAATGGTTGTGATAGTTTTATATTCTTAAATTAATAATTATAGCTAAATACTTGTAAAAAAATTATGAGAAACAGGATAGTTGAAATAATAAAATAAACTGTTTTTTTTTGTCTTAGTAATCTTACTAATTCTATTGTTTATCTAATTTATAATTAAAAGCTTTTTTCTTCAATCTCTATTATGTTTCAGATTTAATGTTAATTTGTTAATTGCTCCATTTTCATTTTTCACTTCATAATATATGGAATTATGGATTTTATTTTTTGTTTGTTTTACATAATATCTGTTACTATCCTTAAATTTGTAATAATAAATAATACTAAATAAAATTATATTAAATTTTGACAGTTCCTTGAACACTTAATAACTCTATATCCTAAAATTAGTCATTTATTCTTAGGTGATGACTTGTTACACTAGTCAAATGAAGAAAAATAGGAAAAATTTTTGGTGCAAATAGGCAGGAAGATACACATATAGGCAGAGAGATTTGTGGATAATATGAACTAATATGCAAATAAGCCCAATTTGAGTACAAAAATTTTGCTGATCCAATGTTGATTTCCAGCAAAACAGTTATCTGATATACAAAATTTAAAGGTATTATTTAAATTTTTTATTTTTCAAAAATTACAAACTAAATTTAATAAACAAAATAAAGAAAAGTAATATTGTTTTTGAAGGATTTATTTCAATAAATTTGAATGTTAATTCTTTAATCTGGCTTCTCACATCTTTTTCAAATACTTTTTTTCTTATTACATTTATATTCAAAATTTGGTTGTTTATTTATGTAATTTGCTATTTTGTTACATTGGTAGCAGGTAATACAAGCAGAAATAAATCTACACAATTTTCAAGCAGATTTGCTTACATATTACTATTTTTTCTACTTTCATATGTGCATTTTTCACTTTTGACCAAAGTAACTTACAATAATTGTAAAGAGTAGACTATTATACTTATTTTAATAGCAGAGAATTAAATTACTTGAAAAATTTTCATCCCTATTCCAAAGTTTTTGTATCTTAATTTTTTTATAGAAGGAAATAATAAGCTCTTGCTATCAAAAAATTAATTTAGACTTCCATTTCCCTATAATCCAATAACATTGTTTACTACCATTTTTGTTAAATTTTCAATGATAAAAAACTTGTCCTTTGATCTTTGTTGATTGTATAATATTCTAAGGACTTATTCTAAATTTCCATATGTGTTTAATTTTAACCACAGACATTGGCAATTGATATCCATAATATTATTACTGAGTGAAAATAATATAATTATATTATTTCCATTTAGTTTAGGTTATTCCCACTTACATGATGACGGTGACCAATTTTTGTCATCAAATCACATATGACAATGGCTAACTTTTGTCATTAGACTATATGACGACAGTAGTTAACTTTTGTCATCAGACCACATACAAACTATTATATATCGAGTTAATGATCTGGCTGATTTCTGTTGTCAAGTCATATGTGATATATTGTATATCAAGTTGGTGATCCTAACTGATTTAAAATCTAAGATGCACCCTGATATAGGGATGGAAGGTGCAATACGAATTGAGCCAGGAATTTAACCAGATTTAATTTAGCCAATTGAGCCCAGGAATTAGCCTTGATGCAATTGGACGCAATGACTAAATTCTGGCGCAAAGGCTAAATGCTGACGCAATTCTGATTGGCTGGTGCAAAAGCTAAATACTAGTGCAATTTTAATTAATTGGTGTAAAGATTAAATGTTAATGTAATTTTGATTGGCTAATATAAAGATTAAATTTTAGTGTAATTTTGATTTGTTAGTATAAAAGTTAAATGTTAATGTAATTTTGATTAATAATATAATTGTAAAATTTATTGAATAATTATTTTTATTTATATGTAATTTTAAATTGATTTTTTATTATAAGAAATGATTTTTATTATTATATTTTTATAATAAGAGAGAAAGAGAGAGAGAAAGAAAGAGAGAGAGAGAGAGAGAGAGAGAGAGTTAGTACAATTAAATTGAATTTAAATTTAGCTGGCGCAATTAAATTGAACTGGAATTTAGCTGGCACAATTAATTGAGCCAGAATTTAGCCAGAACAAAATTATTTAGCCAGGACATAATTAATTGAGCTGACCATCTCTACTCGGGATACTAAAAACTGTGACTATATAGAAATGTACCTATTATAGAGGTTTTCTCTATATAGTCACATATATATTAAAATATATTTATGGTGACTATATAAAGAATTATTTATTTACAAATAAAGTGTAATATTGAATTTTTTCCCTACACCGCCATCTTTTCCAATTTGCAATACCAAAAACACATTGTCATATTAGCAACAAGTAAAAAAAAGAAATATGTGAGTTAGCTAAAAAAAATCTATTATATAAATAACAAAAAATAGCAAGTGAGTTTATGGAACGATATCCAGACCTGAAAATAGATCATTCAACTGTATCAAAAATTTTAAAAAATGCTGATAAGTATGAATTTGTGACGATATGCATGCTGAAAAAACCTTTCGTCGTCATTTTGTGAAGTATTCAACATTGGAACGTGCCATGAATATGTGGATAAACCAGGTCACAGCTGAAGGAATGATTATATCAGATTCAATAATAAAAGAAAAAGGTCGTCAATTTGTACAAGCTTTCATGATACTAGATAAATCAATTACATTTTCAAATGGATGGGCTACTAAATTTAAGCAGCATAATGAATTAAAAAAAATTATAATGCATGGTGAAGCAGCAAGTGCACCATTAGAAAACTTATCTGAAGAACAGAAAAAATTACAACTTCCCTCTAATTATGATTCAGAAGATATATATAATGCTGATGAAACAAGTTTATTCTATCGATTACTTCTGAATCAAACACTTTCTACAAAATCAATGGCTAGAAAAAAAAGGTAAATTAAAAAAAAAATTAATAATTTAAAAAAAATTAATAATTTAAAAAAATTAATTAAATTAATAATTAAATTTTTTAGAAAAAAGTAAAAGTAACCATGTTACTTTGATCAAATTCAACTGACTCTCACAAACTTCGTCCATTAGTCATCGGTACTTCTAAAAAGTCACGATGTTTTAATAAAATAAATATTTCTCAATTATCAGTAATATATAAAAATAACAAAAAAGCATAGATGAGAAGTGATATTTGGGAGCAATGGTTACATTATATAGATGACAATTTTCGTATCCAAGGTAGAAAGGTTTGATTCTTGTTGATAATACGGCTTCTCATATGATCCTGGGAACAAATAATGTTCAAGATAATTAAGATGATGATGCAGATGAGCGATCATCTGAAAATGAATCCATCGATAAAATTGAAGAACCACGAAAAAGATCATGAGGAAGATCATGAGGAAGGTCGCTAAAAAGACCACAAGAAAGATAGCAAGAAAGACTGAGAAAAACTTCAGGCCTTTCAAACATTACCGTATATTTTCTTTCACCAAATATGACTGCTCATATTCAACCCATGGATGCCAGCATTATTCATAGCTTTAAATCAAAATATAAAAAGCTATATTGCTAATATTTAATTGATCAATTTGAAAAAAATCAAAATCATGAGTAAGAATTATTTTTATATATTGGATAATTCAACTACTTAAAAAGAAATAATGACAAAAAAAAATAAATTTGTTATAGTATTATAATTTATATTTTTTTTAATTTTATTTTAATTTATTTTTTATTAAATATAAAAAACTTTCCTTGAGAAAAGCAATCGATTTTATTGCCAAAACTTGGGATAATATTAGTAATACCATTATAAAAAATTGCTAGAGAACTATTAGAATTATGCCTGAAATAGATAAACTCGAAATGGATAAATTTGAAATGAATGGATTTGAAATGTATGAATTTAAAATAAGTGAACATGAATCAGAAATCAACTTGCTACTTGATGATCAACAATTAATACAAGATATCGAAGAATATACTTGTCTGATTAATCAACCAGCTAAAACTGAAGATGTATTAACTGATGAAGGTATTATTGAAATGGTTATTCATAAATTTCATAATAGTGATGATAAATTAGATGATAAAGAAAGATCACCACCGTCTTTTTCAATAACTATAATAGAAGCAATTGATGCACTAAAAAAAGTTATAAGCTATTAAGAAAGTCTTGAAGTTGAAAAAGGATTTAATGAGAGCAAATTATCAATATTACGAAAAAGGTTTAAAGAATAGTGTGGTGAAAGAGATAAAAATAAGAAGCAATCTTCAATTTTATCTTTTTTTAATTGTAATGAAAGTATTGATCTTGCATTTTAATTTTTTTTTTATAATGATATCAATTAATAATATATAATAATAATAATACATAATAATAATAATACATAATAATAATAATACATAATAATAATAATACATAATAATAATAA